AAGGAACCATCAGTGCCAGTAAAGCCGCTTTATTTGGTTCTCGGCTACTCTTACCAGTGTAGCGTGTGGTTTAGTGCACTACATGAGCACTGTTGATGGAGACTTCCCTGTGCTGACTGGATTCTGTTTTCCACCAGGAGATCTAATCAGCTTTTCCTGGGTTTGGGTTGACCAATTCTTTCATTCTTTTTTCCTGTCTTTCTGTTTTTCTTGTTTCATAACGACTCAGTTTGAAATGTACAGTAATTGGTGTTTTGGTGTTTGCCAGTTCTTCATTAGAGAACGTACACATATGATCTCATGATCTCGAGTTTAGATTATGTTCAGATGGTCACTTGGGGCATGAAACATCAAAGCAAAGTCGGGTAGTTTAATCATGTTTCTTCTTTGTTACAAATGAAAATCTGTTTGTTGCTGAAATTATGGAACTTGCATAAAAATGTGCTCAGAAATAGTCTAAGGACACCATAAAACTCCCAATAAACTTGAAAAAGCCAATTTGTTTTCCATACTGTATGTAAAATAGCCAAAGAAAGCCAAAGGCGAACCAACAGGCAATTTTAAGAGTGGAAGCTAGCCTAAAGCTGACTCAAATTAGTATTCTGACGTAAAAGGCAAATTTGCTTATTTAAAATGTTTTTATAGTATTTTAATTGTCTGTCTTATTCTTTTATTTATTATTCTTACAATTATCCATGCATTGTTATGGTCTTTAAATTTAAAGCAAAATATTTGAGAATGATTTACAATTATTTATAATTACTTTATTTATATATATATATATTTTTTTTAAATGTAATACAATTTTTATTCAGCAAGGACACACTGTAAAAAAAATTCTGTAAAATTTACGGTAAAAAAACGGCAGCTGTGGTTGCCGGAATTTTACCATAAAAAATACGGTAGCAACATTATAGGTTTTAGGTTTTAACTTAAATTTACAGTTAAATACCGTAATTTCATTAACTGATGTAATGTTATTATACCAACCTATTGAAGTACTGAAATCTGTTTTGCACCTTTGTAATACACTGATAACCACCAAATGCAGGAGGTGATGAGAAAGTCACATGATGAACCAAAGCCCATCACAAGCAGCTTTTAAATAATAACATATATAGAAGGTGCACAGTGTCATTCACACAAACACTAAACACCATCACGGTAACACACATGAAACTGAAATAATGCAATAAACATTCATTTAACAACATTAGGTGTAACACACAACCCTAATATACAAAACTGATAAGAAAAAACTAAGAAGAAACATTGTTATTTCAACAAAAAAAGCATCAAATTTGAAATGTAACGCAGGGAATTCTGGGAATGTCAATTTACGGTTATTCACTGTAAATTATACAGTCTTTTTCACTTCCAAAAACGGTATACTACCGTAAAATTATTTTACCGTTAAATTCATGGTAATTTTTTACAGTGCACACTGATCAAAAGTGACATTTATAATGTTACAAAAGATTTAAATTTCAAATAAATGCTGTTCTTTTGAACTCTATATTCATCAAAGAATCCTGAACAAAAATGTATCATGGTTTCTAAATAAAATATGAAGCAGTGCGACTGTTATAATAATAAGACAACTGTGATAATACTCTGAAATGTTTCTCGAGCAGCTAATCAGCATATTAGTATGATTTCTGAAGGATCATGTGACACTGAAGACTGGCGTAATAAATTGTATTTTACAATGTAGGGAATTCAATTAGAAAACTGTTATTTTAAATTGTAATGATAATATATTTGATATTTAATCAAAAATACAGTAAAAACAGTAATATCGTGGAATATTATTACAATTTAAACTAACTTTTCTGTGATTATATTGTAAAATGTCATTTTTCACTGTAACGCAAGGCTGAATTTTCAGCATCATTACTCCAGTCTTCAGTGTCACATGATCCTCCAGAAATCATTCTGATATGCATTAGATAAACATCTAATATACACTTATACATTATATACAACATGCATTTATCTTATAATGAACAGGTTTTTCAGTCACACGCACAGACACACTGTATAGTGGAGTGTGTCACAGACAGACAGTTGGTCTTTTGTCCCAGAGATAACCCCTGATGCCGGAGGAGATCTCTGGAGGGGGAGGGGAGGGGGACACGGGGCCGGATGATGTTACACTGCCGAGTGTTTGAGGGGCTTGCTGTCCCGCGGGGGGTTGTGTTATATGACAGCTGTAGCAGACAGGAGAGGCTGAGGAAAGTGCCGTCTTGTCTTGCATCATCCTCATGGATTTCGTTTTAAACACATATGTAATATGATTTCCACCACCTTAGATAGTCTTTGCCCTTCTGACCTGAGAAATCTCAGAGGTGTTGATTTTACACAAAAGCCCATTTTAACATGCTTTACCCCCTCCAAATTGGAAAAATTGCCGTGAGTGGTGGTAGGAGTCCAAGAGTGTAAAACTGGGAAGGGCATTTTAAATAGAATCAAATGATACTCAAAAGATGCTTTTGAATGCGCTTTGACAGATGAGTGTCTGCTTTCCTTGTCAGCAGTATTTAGAGTTCATTTAAGAGTGTTGGTGCATGAATTCCTTTCATGGTTTGGCCTTCAGCCGTCATTTCTTAGATTTAAGACCGAAAGGATCCTGCCAGAGTGGAAAATATCTGTGCCACCTCTCCATAACTGCAGAAAAAAATGAAGACAAAGAGTACAGAATTTTTCAGGCCTGAGATAAAGGTCTGACAATGTGTTCATATTCATTTTTGTAAAATGAATTCATCTTGAGGAATTGAGCTGATGTCATTCAGCACATATCGACATGTAATGTGTTGTTTGGGCATTTATCTGATAATGATTCTGCAAAAATGTCTTCTTTTGTGTTCTTTGGATCTGAAATGACATCCTCTGAAGTTCTTCCGGTGTTGTTTTTGCAGTTGATTGGCTCGCTGGTTCTGGCTGTGGGGCTCTGGCTGAGACTAGACCCAAAAACCGTGTCTCTTTTAGAAGGAGGACCTGAGACCTTCTTTATCGGTAAGCAATTAATTGATCATATTTCATGATTATTTCTCCAATGCTTATATACATACAGTGGGGCCGAAGAAGTATCTGAGACTACATTGAAATGAAGTGATTTAGAGCTTAAAGTAAGAAAATTTTAAAAAATAAGCAAGGTTTTAGATTTTAGAAACATTATGACACAAAATGAATACAATTATAATATGTAAATATGAATTAAAAATAATTATAATTAAGAATTATAAAATAACATTAATTGTATTATTTAACATATTTAAATAATATTTAAATTATTATTACTAAATATAAAATAATTGTAATTGTATTATATTATATATAATATGTCAAATTATACATAGATAGATAGATAGATAGAATTATATTATATTATATTATATTATATATATTACGGAAGAGGATAAGGGCCAATCAATAATAAAAAAATAAAACCCGTCTCGAGATTAAAGTCATTATAATGCGAGATTAAACTCGTTACATTTCAAGAAAATGTCGAAATGTCGAAATAAAATGTTACGAATTAAATCATTAAATTTCAAGAATAAAGTCGTTGTGTTTCAAGAAAAAAATCGTTAAATTTCGAGAAAAAGGTAGAAATTAAATGTTGAGCATAAACTCATTAAATTACGAGAAAAAACTCGTTAAATTTCGAGAAAAAATTTTGAAATAAAATGCTGAGAATAAACTCATTAAATTACAAGACTTTTGGCGAACTGGCACTTTTTCTTTTTTTCATCACATATCACATCGGATGCTATTTACACTAAGTGAAATGAGTGATCTATTCTATTTACACTAAGTGAAATTAGTGATATATTCTATTTACACAAAGTGAAATGAGTGATATATTCTATTTACACAAAGTGAAATGAGTGATATATTCTATTTACCCTAAGTGAAATGAGTGATCTATTCTATTTACCCTAAGTGAAATGAGTGATCTATTCTATTTACACTAAGTTAAATTAGTGATATATTCTATTTACACAAAGTGAAATGAGTGATCACCTAAACCTACCCAATTAATACATCATTATTAAACACTCGTTAGGCAACTGACTTCCATTTTCCGATGTGGTATGTGATGAAAAAAGAAGAAGTGCGAGTTCGGCGAAAGCCAGATGTGAACTCTAGTCGACTGCATCATATGCTTCATGCTCGAGCATTACGCTTTAGGACCTGCGCCAAATAAGTGTAAATAGTAATTAGATGCTATTTATGCTTATAAATAGTGACAGAAACTATTTCCACCTCAGTATTGTTGTACATTAACAGGATGCAATAATAACATAGAGTGTATAATAGACGCTGCCTTATTGGTACACAAAAAAGCCCTCCCTATAGCCTACCTGCACCTAAACCTACCCAATTAATACATCATTATTAAACACTCGTTAGGCAACTGACTTCCATTTTCCCATGTGGTATGTGATGAAAAAAGAAGAAGTGCGAGTTCGGCGAAAGCCAGATGTGAACTCTAGTCGACTGCATCATATGCTTCATGCTCGAACATTACGCTTTAGGACCTGCGCCACTGCAGACGCTGACTAACACTGTCCAACCAGATCACACCAGTGTTTATTCTCAGCATTTTATTTCAACTTTATTCTCGTAATTTAATGAGTTTTTTCTCGAAACACAGCGACTTTATTCTCTAAATTTAACGATTTAACTCTCAACATTTAATTTTGACATTTTTCTTGAAATGTAACGAGTTTAATCTCGCATTATAATGACTTTAATCTCGAGATGGTTTTATTTTTTTATTATTGCTTGGCCCTAATCCTCTTCTGTAAAATAAATATAAATAAGAAAAAAAATTATAAGATGCTGATAATATATTTGTAATAGAAAATATTTAGTGGTTTCCCACTGTAGCCCTTAAAACTGAAATAAAGGGACGACAGACAGCAAAAACATGGTATGATTTTCTCTGTTATCTATTGTATTTTCCATTATTATTAAATTTTCCCTCAGATTGTAATGCTGATAATATATTTTTATTAAAAAAAGTTATGTTAGAAAATATTACAAAAACATTATAACCAAATTCAATTAGAATATTTAAATAATATTTATAATTAATATAAAAACTTGTATTGTACAATATATTTAATGTATATAATTAATGATAATTATAATATTAAAATTGACGATATCTCAAATTATTTAAAAAATAAATAGGATATATTTATAGAGTCTACAGTTCTGCAAAATATGAATTAAATAATAATAAAAATTTAATTTAGTGCTTTCAGAGTTTTGGACCCCTCTATAGCCCTTAAAACAGAAATAAAGGCGCGTCAGACAGACCCAGTGTTTGGATGGAAACATCTGAGGCCACTCAGAGTGGCAAAGTTTCCACAGCCTTCTGCCCAGCCCTCGTGAGACACACCGAGTTCTTGCGCATTTCAGAGGCTGGTGTTTCTGAAAACAGGAAGTGACATTTCAAGCTATGCATACATGGAGGAAACCGCAATACTTCAGGTCTGCTGTGGCAACAGGTCAACATGGGAGGAGAGAGAGATACAGACAGGTCATGCAGTGCTAAATCTGGATGCAGAGGAGAACTTCATGATGTCAGGAAATATTCTTATCCTCAAACAGCCTCCTCAAGCTCGGTTTAGTTGCTGACATCACCCTCATTTGGGGGTTTTAGTACTTAAAGCTGTGAAAAGAAGCGGGTGTGAACGAGCATGACTTAAAGCCTCAGCAATATCCCGGTGACAAAGTTACATTTTCGTTTCTCATCAGCCCAGATGAAGAGCTGTCTTGTTCACTTGAGCCTGCAACCCACAGTCACATTTGCATCACACACAGTCATCTTGCTTTCCATAGTTAGATGCAAATACAACCCACATACATTTATATTTATAGACTCACTGAAACTAGTCAGTTTCTGTTTCTGTCTTATTTACTTCATTTACTTATTCTTATAGTAACAGCTCCACTATATATATATATACGTGTGTGTGTGTGTGTGTGTGTGTGTGTGTGTGTGTGTGTGTGTGTGTGTGTGTGTCAGTATAAATAGGTATCTATACATGAAAATATAAAAAAAAGGGATAGTTTACCCAAAAATTAATTTTCTCATCCTGATGCCATCCAAGATGTAGGTGACTTCTTTTCTTCTTCAGTAGAACAGTAAAGAAGATTTTTAAAACTGTGGCCCTTGGTGATTCATAAAATGTCATAAAAAGTCTGTGGCTACCGTCACTTTGAGAAAAAAAAGCATATACAGGCAGTACAAAAGTAATACCCGTGGCTCCTGACAAATTATTGAAGTCTTATGAAGTAAACAATCAGTCTGTGCAAGAAACCGAGCATTGCATTTTATGCTTTCAAAATGAATTCATTGATGGAACAGCACACCGCTACATTGTGTGAATGGCCAATTCTGACTGATTGATTTCATTTTAAAATATTTCTGAGGAAGGATCAAGCTGGCAATATTCTGTCTAAAATGTAAGATCTTCAGTATTAATTTGTTGTTTATCAGGCTGTTGTATAAAAACAATATCACACTTTTCCAAATAACAGCAGCAAGACTGTGATTACCTGCAGCTTATTTAGTATGTACACTACCGTTCAGAAGTTTGGGGTACGCACAATTTTTTTTTTTTTTTTATAATTTATTTTTGTTTTTTGTTTTTTATGCAATGACCCTTGTCAACATAATGTAATATCTGAATTAAATATTATATTTTAAATAATGAAAATGTGTTTATTTATTTATTTCAATTATTATTACTATTGTTATTGTCAGAATACTTGAGTAATTTTAAATGTCCGTGAATTAAGACAGATGCCTTTTGCTTCCTGAATAGTGTGCTTACAGTATCTAGAAGGGGTTAACTGGACCATGCTAACCAGCCAAACTTTAATATTTTGGAATAAACCATCTGACAGTGCTGACATTAACCAGTTCAGACTTCTTAGTCCTCCTTGTCTACAAACACACACACACACACACATTTTACATGACTTTTAGATTACAGTCAGCAATGACAAAGGATTGTCTTCTCCGCAGCTACTGTGGCAACGGTGTAAATATTATCAGCGTGTGACAAGATGTTGTGTTCACTCTCTCTGTCACACTTTGTTTTCGTTCATCTCAGTTTTACTCTGTGTGTTTCCCAAATGCTTGAAATAATGGTGAGTTTTTTCAGTATAAGTAACACTCTCAGCCCAGAGGAAGTATATGTTCTGGGAAAATAAAAAGTTTTTTTTTTTTTTTTGGTATGCTTAGTGGTGTTTGCAAAGACAAGTATCACCATTGCTCATACTGAGGGTTAGCAATATGAACAGAGTCCTAAATCTAAGCATTATCAGTATTAAAGATAAGAATGACACCTCAAATCATGTGACCTGTTGAGAACTGTGCTTTCGCTTTTATAAGGGCCTCTAATGTTTAGTGGAACAGCCAGGACTTTTCTCTGTTTGTATCACTTCACTTGTGTCTAGTGATGGGGATTTTTATTGACTGTCTTTGCCGGTTATATTGTTATGCCCATGGGTCTTTATGAGTGAGTCATTGAATTAGTCACTTAACCAATTTGTTAAAATACACTGATTGGCCTTGATCAAATCGTACCAACCCCAAGCCTTTGAAACTTTTAAATCCATGGCCTGAATGTTTGATGAATATCATATACTACAGCATGACATTGCAAGCACTGTAGTAATTACTCTACATCTTCTACCTTTTTATCCTATATTAATGATGTAGCAAAGGGTCGCAAAATCCCCTACTGTCTCTCTCTCTCTCTCTCAAGAGAGTTTCAATCTCATTTCCAGACTTCCCACCTGGCCCAGGTCCCTTGTGGCATAATTAAACCGGCTCAGGATGAACTAAAGAGCTCATGTCTCTAGATTACAATTTGAGGCTAGAGTCTGAGGATGCTGATCCTAGATCAGCGAGTAACAGGAAGCTGACTCTCCATGGCCTGATGTTGACTGAACCTGTCAGGTTTTAGACTGTGGCTCTGTTGCGGAGGCAGATGGGAATTCATGCACCCCACGCTCTCTTTCTGTTTTGCTCTAATGAGGATAATAAGTTGATGGAAGAGGCTGAAGTGAAAGCTAATGACATCATCTTGAAGTGTTGTACGCGGTCACGCTGTGCTCAAACACCTCTCACTGTCATCTCCCAAAGTGACTCACTTAACGCTTGTGCTTCCCTCTGCTGGTGGTGACTGATTACATCCTGCTGAAATGACAGCAATGTTGTGTCAAAAAGGGTCTAATACCAGGAGAAAATTATTCTTTAACGATCCAATTTACATCAATGGCAGTTACTTGGCTGGAGCAGGACCACTCGGAAGTACATGATTTGAAATCTGCAGGATCTCAAGGATTATTACTAATATTTAAATTGTGACAAAAGCCCCCAAAAAAGTGATTGTTTTTATTTATTTACTGTCGTTATTTTTCATCTTTAGCTAATGTTTATGCTATATATTATATACAACTATCAATACTATTTTATAATATACAGTATGAGTGTTTCCCAATGCATGTGACCTCAGAAGGAATAACATTTTGTTCATTTCAAAGTAAACTGCATAAATCTGGTACAAAATTAAGAGATTTGCCTCCTTTTCAGTAACCAAATTGAACAGCATTTTTTTTTTTGCATTGACTTGTATCTTGACTTAAAAGTGGACTCAAAGCTCCTTTACATTACAGTCACACTGGTGTTTTTAGGAAGCCAAACAATTTTAATAATAATTTTCCATTATTGTTATCTCTAAGACAGAAATATATCAATATTGTAATATAACGGTGCTAAAACAAGTATACTTAAAGTATATTAATATTTCATTTAATATATTATTTGGGGAGGGAAATGGATGGGAACTAGGGAGGAGGCTCAGGAGGAGGACGGACAACCGGGAGGGGGCCGGCAGACAGAGACCAGGGGAGCGAAGGAGGGAGGAGCCAGGGCGGAGACAGGAGGGACCCGGAGCAGGAGGAGCACAGCAGGACCCAGGCCACAGCCATAACAGCTGCCCACGGTGGAGCCGACGGTGGGAGGAGCCATGGCCACCGACTCCAGGGGTGGAGCTGGAGCGACTGAGGACCAAGGTGGAGCTGGCGGGAGGAAGGAGCCCAACGGAGCCAGTCGGACGGAGCAACGAAGCGCAGCCCGAGGAGAGAAGTGTCCAGAGGCGATGGCAGGTCGACTTAAAGTATATTAATATTTCATTTAATATATTATTTGGGGAGGGAAATGGATGGGAACTAGGGAGGAGGCTCAGGAGGAGGACGGACAACCGGGAGGGGGCCGGCAGACAGAGACCAGGGGAGCGAAGGAGGGAGGAGCCAGGGCGGAGACAGGAGGGACCCGGAGCAGGAGGAGCACAGCAGGACCCAGGCCACAGCCATAACAGCTGCCCACGGTGGAGCCGACGGTGGGAGGAGCCATGGCCACCGACTCCAGGGGTGGAGCTGGAGCGACTGAGGACCAAGGTGGAGCTGGCGGGAGGAAGGAGCCCAACGGAGCCAGTCGGACGGAGCAACGAAGTGCAGCCCGAGGAGAGAAGTGTCCAGAGGCGATGGCAGATCGACGCCCGACCAAGGCAGAGCCGGAGGGACGAGGGAGCCCGGTGGAGTTGATGGATCGACGGGTGACGGTGAAGGCGAGGGAGCTAGGAGCCGAGGTGGGCTTCGGAGGCTGGAGGTGAGGGATACGCCGACCCCGACGCTGGAGGATGGCAGTCCCGCGGGGCTCGCACCGTAATGATGGTAGGCTGAGGGCGAGCAGAGGGGCTGCCAGACGAGCCAGCGGTGGAGGAGGCTGGAGCGGGTGGGAGGGCAGGCATTTTCGATGCTCGCGGTGGGAAATGGCTCTCCGTCATCGGTGTGATCGAGCTGATGCTCCGTACCGTGGGGAGATGGTGGGCTGGGCTCTGGGTCAGGAGTGGCAAACTCCTGGGAACGGAGATCCATTTCTCCCCAGTGTCCACTCCACAAAGGCTGCGAAATTCACTCGAGGACAGTACTTGGACGACAGCGCTCTGCACACGATGTTTAAACTGGCATCGTAGAACGCACAGAGCGCGTCGTCCGGGTAGTTGGTGAGGCTTGCCAGGACCAGGAACAGTCTAGTGTGGCCCTCGAGCGAAGGAGGGGATCCATGGGACAACACAACGGAAACAAAAAACTGAGTAAAAAAAGAGAAACAAAACGGAGGGTACAAACGGAGGTAACTGTTTCGGTCGGTTCTTCTGTCACAATTCACTCGGGGAGCAAGGAACGAGGAAACGAGAAGTTCTTCAATATCACAATCTTTTAATAATCCAATCACAAGGGGACCATTGGAGACACAGGAACACATGGAAGGACGTTCAGAAGAGACAAACACTGACTGAAAGGACTAGGGCTTTTAAACACAGGATAATTGGGGAAGAACTAGACACACCTGGAATCAAATTAACACAATCAATGGGAGACAGAAACTAGGTCACAGGGAGCAAAAACACACACAGACAGGTCCATAACCCTGACATATACTTATGTCTTAATTTACTCATTTAAATTAAACCCTTAAGCTTTCTGTGAAATGCTTTTCATTATAAATCCAGTGAATTGCCATAATCATCTTACAAAAATAAAAATAAAAAAGAACTGGAATTTTGAATTTGACACATCCTTCAGCCCTTTTTGAGTTTATTCATTATTTGTAATATTTGTATATAAATAATGTATTGGCTACCAACAGTAAGCCATATTGCATGTAAATGAATTTAAATCAATTCCTCAGATTTTCCCAAAAGTTGGTGCAGCATGAAAAAGCATAAAATGTCTGTGTGTGTTCTGGTGTCCTGCGCAGGGGTCTATATCCTCATCGCGGCTGGGGGTCTGGTGATGCTGGTGGGCTTCTTCGGCTGCTGTGGTGCCGTGAGGGAGTCTCAGTGCCTTCTGGGATTGGTGAGTGAGATATTATTCTGTTTTAATAAAACAATAAAACAATATTGCTCACTGACAAATGGTCAGTGAGGAACTGACAGTAAACTTGATGATGTTGTTTTATTTAAAACATTCTGATTTGAGAATAAAAAAAGAGGAAGCACCTGGAATATTTCTTTATTTAATAAAATACTGTATGGAATATACAGTTGACATAACCCAGGTGCTGTGTTTCTCTTGCATGGCAGTTTTTCACCTGTCTTCTGGTCATCTTTGGAGCAGAAGTTGCTGCAGGAGTGTTTGGGTTCCTCAACAAAGACAAGGTACTACTAAACTGCAAAAGATCCGATTCAGAGTTCATTTGAAATAAAATCAGTCTGACTTTTACAACATAAGTTTTTATTCATTTTAGATCATTAAGGAAATACAAGATTTCTATGACAAATCAGCAGAAAACCGCAAAAATGCAACCGTCCACTCTTACCATGTCAAAGTGAGTTTGCACTTTTTATTCAATTTTTTGCGTCTCACTGGTGATTGAAACAGGAAGAGTAAACATAAAGTGGAAAATATTAACAAAATCAACTGCCCTATAGAGATTATTAACATTTACTGAATACAATGCTTATTTAGAAAAGTCATATGCTTATTTAGTTTCTTATAGAGTTTTAAAGGGGTCATATGATGTTGCTAAAAAGAACATTATTTTATGTATTTGGTGTAATGAAATGTGTTTATGCGGTTTAAGGTTCAAAAAACACATTACTACTCTCCCAAGATCAGGAAACAGTCCTCCATAAAATGTGCTGCACACATCTGAATATTTGGGTTAAACTGTTCTGGAACAGTGTTGTAAATACAACTTAACCACTGATTTCTAGTCATGTCCTCTTTTGGAAGACCAAACAAAGTAGTTTCACTTTCACAACGAAACACACAGCATTACACACGGCGGGCTTCAGTGAGCGCCTCGGATCAAACCAGGTGAGAATGAATGAAGCACAGATGAGAACCATTATGAATGCAATTAGTAGAACTCTTGTATGTTTGGCACTTGTAAAACTGTATAACAGTTAGTGTGGCGTCTGTGTTCAATATGCATTGAAACTGAATTGTTTAGGAAGATGTGGTATTGAGATGCATATTATCAATCAGTCAGTTATCAATCTGTTTGACTCCATGCAGACATGTCATGAGGCCATTGCAGAGTTTTTCAACAGTAAGCTCTTCATCGTGGGTTATGTGGGGATTGGAATCGCAGGAGTCATGGTAAATACCATTATGTCATTAACTGTAGTCAATTGAATCAATTTCCTTCTCTTCCTGTAAATCCTGTGTAACCTTCGAACTTCATCATTTTAATACTTTTTTAAAACCTTTAAGCAAGGCTTTGTCAAGCCAATATCTAATATAAGATACAGTCAGAGTGTGGATTAAAAAGGGAAGCAAACAGGGTCAACTGTAATTTCATGTGCAACATCTTCACACTGTCTTGTGCCTTCTACCATCCAACCATCTGCGCTGTGAAAACGTGAAAAACATTTGAATCATTTGCTTGATTCATTCAGTAGTTGAGGATGGTTCAAGCAGTGTGCTTAAGTGGAGTTATTAGAAGAAGAGTTATAATTTTTTATTATTTCAACATACATGCATTTATATAAATTGCATGAATAAATTATACATACATTTGCTGATTTTAAAATAATTGGGAGACTGACCATGTGAATTCCTTTGTACAATGTCACACATTCACTTAGTTAATTAGTGAGGGTCTTTTTTTTTAGTTAGTAGTTTTTGTGATTTTATTGGATAGGATGGGGATGTTGAGACAGGAAGTAATGAGAGAGGGAAACAGGATCAGGAAAGGAACTCAGGTCACTCGAGGCGCATCTGCGCCATATGTCGTATTTTGAGGTTTAAACTAGATTTTATTTTTCCGATTTTTCAAACACTTTTCACACTTTTGAACCCCACATTAAAAAGATTGTGTGTGTGTGTGTGTGTGTGTGTGTCACCAGCTTGGCAGTAGGTGTAAAGCTTCTGCTACCCAATTCATTCTAAATATAGATCATGCAGTTTTGTCACGTTATTTAGGCCCACCAAGTAGAGATTGCCAGCACCTTAGTAAATCTTCATTTCTGACAAAAGATGAATTAAAAACATTACAAATTATAATGATTTTAATATGAAACTATTTCATTAAAAAATAAAAAAAAATGACATTACAAGTTCGTAGAAAAGCTCAGAAATGTATTCATTTTTGAATTCCTTGCTAGACGAGTCAAATGTTTCTTCTGTATGTAATTGTATTTATATTGACCAGGAAGTTGATCATGTTTTTAAATACTTTGAATACAAATAATTGCATTATAGTCGCTGCTTTATAGCAGGACTTCATTTTGCCTCGTCTTTCTGGCATGAAATGCACGTCAGCTGCAAGTGAATGCTATGCAGGAAGCACTAGAACCAGGCTAAAGTTTCATCTGCAGTGCACAGTGTGCACTTTTCACCAACACAGTTGTGTTCTTAGTTAACACTCACCAAGCACTTTAGATGTCTGTACAGTATATTAGTGAGTTTTCTTTACTGCATCTCATGCGTTATTTGAATCTTTAGTTTTGTAATTTGGCATTAAAGCACATATAATATAATACATACTGTACAAAACCATACTCAAATCCCAGTTTTTGGAATGGTCCAGAATGTCTATCCAGGCTCTTGAATATGACAGTTTAACAAGGTTAGGTTAAACAGAATGTCTTTTAATTCTGTAAAAGTAAAACCTCACTTCAGCAGGAATCAAACATCCTGTCTCTGCGTGTGTCTCTTCAGAGTCGTGTATATTGTATAACAATGTCCTCACAGGTGTATCTCCACGCTAATGTCCACATTAATGTCCTCCGTAATATTGTGCATACAAAACGTCACAAGAAAGGTAGGACACAACTGGTAATGGAGGACACAAGTATTAAAAAAAGGATTTTCTGACCCTTTGAGTGCATGAGTCATGGCCGTATGCTTTCAAATCAACCCTCACTGAGGATAAATCTGACTGTCTCTGACCATACATTTCCAAAAGAAAAAGAAACATAATCATGTGCAATGATATAGCTTCCTGAATAAGCCAGTTGAATATGTTAAAGGTAGCATGTAAAGACGTGAACTTAAACTCTAAGCCATTAACAGTCTTCTCCAACAACCGTTTGTTTCAACACACTCAAATAATTATACAACACATAATAGTTTGTGCAAGATGGCGAAATTGTATACGCTCAGAAAAAAAGGTACAAAATCTGTTACTGGTGTTTTACGTTAAAGGGTAGCAGGGGTGTCAAACTCAGTTCCTGGAGGGCCGGAGCCCTGCAGAGTTTTGTTCCAACCCTGCTCCAACACACATACCATGTCGTTTTCAAATAAACCTGAAGAACTTGATTTGTTGGATCAGGTGTGTTTAATTAGGCTTGAATCGAAACTCTGCCGGGATCCGGCCCTCTAGGAATTGAGTTTGACACCCCTGCCCTAAAGAGTGCATAGTAGTACCTTAAAAGTACCTATTAGTATTTAAGTAGGACATATTAGTAACCCCAGTGTCAACTTTTGTACCACTTTTTCTGAGAGTGTATGATCTCCTATAACTTGGTTCATATAGAAACATTCAACCTTTATAGGTATTTTCCAGATTACTGTGATGGTTTATGTTGTATGTATTTGTATGACCCAGATTTGAACAATTTTGCCATCTCATACAAATTGTCATGTGAGCAGGTTGGTTTGTTCTCAGATATTTAGTCGCATCATAGCTGCGTTGGTCTTTAAAGTTTAATTCAGGTGGTTTCATAGTTTAGACAGAGTAAAGGTTAAATGGAGTTTGCCCTAAGAGAAACTCCCCAACACCGATGAAGTAAACCACTTGAACAATTCCGAAGAGTGGAGCAATGACCAGCGCCCTGCAGCCGGCACCCTTCAGAAAAGCAGCTGGGCCTTCTTTGCGCATTATCTTTCTGTAGGAACAAAAAGCGGGATCATCATTAATACAGCAGAAACAGAAAATTGCATTAATGCGTTTTCCCAGAATGTCCATTAGCTAGGTTGCTTTACCTGATGCAGTCTGCCACACCATTGTAGGTGTCTTCATTTGCACTTTTATTGAGTGACTGCAGCCGGGTTTTCACAACTGGATAGAGATGGGATCAACCTTAGTCTTTGCACATACACTAACATTTACTCAAACAGGTATTCTTAGCAAAACGTGAATGCTCACCATCACAAGGACTGACTGCCACAGCTGCTGTACATCCAGCCACACAGCCCGAAATAAAAGACCAGTAAAAAGGCACCTCGTCGTCCTCAGATGTCTTGCCCAGCTTGTTGATGTGGGCAAACAGCGGAAAGTAAACCACTGAGAAAGGGATGTCCCTGTAAGAAGACCCAAGGTATGTTTTACTAATGTCTCGAGAGATAACTCGCCCAAGTTGGACATTCCTGGATCAGCGTCCTTTGTCGAATGTAGTTAGCAAACAAATACAGTCCTAACCCTCCACCTACCCCTAAAATCTGAGAGGAATGATAGGCTACTAAGAAAGTTTTTCAAAGCTTTAACTCTGCCATTACCTGACTCTAAAGTTGGACTGTTCGACGGTAGTGTTGTTCCGGCGAGGAACAACAAGGATTAGGAAGGAAGGATGTTCAGGACTAACAAGGATGTTAAGTCAGGGACAAGTCCAACTTGGGTCAGCCATGCTACACCAGGGCTGTCCAATCCTGCTTCTGGAGTTTATCTCCAGCCATAAGTAAACACACTTGAACCAGGTCTTCAGGATCACTAGAAATTTCCAGGCTGATGTTTTGGGGCTAAACTCTGTAGGAAAGTGGCCCTCCAGAAGCAGGATTGAACACCCCTGCTTTACACTAATATTTCCTTGTGGGATTCAGTTTAACGGTACTGTGGTATGGCTTATTTAGGCCTGTGGTACTTGGACCACAGTTTGAGAAAGAGGATTGAATTTGGAATAGATTGGCCAAACATTTACGTTATAAGAGTCGTACCTCAAGAGGGTTGCTCCGAGACCTTTGTAAAGTCCCTGGATGCCCTTTGTGCGAAGCAGTTCCTGAGTAATCTGAATGGCTGACACTTTTCTGGTTGAAGACACTGGACCCACACTGTACGAACAGTTCAGGACTGGACTGGCTGTTCCAAGTTTCACAGTGTGAAGCACGGGAAACTTCCTCTGCTGGGCCACTGAATGTAAAAATGGTGCAGCCTGTCAAGGAACCTCCTGCATAAAGTAAGCTTTACAAGTCTACAAAATCAGTGGTTCTAAACTCTGGTCCTGGGTATCCACCACTTTGCACAATTTGTACATCTCTGTTGTCTGACACACTCAGTTCAGTTCATAGAGCCCGCTCAAACGAGCTGATGATTTGAATCAGGTGTGTTGAATAAAGAAGAATATTCACTGATCTGATGATTGATGACATCATGAATATTAAGGGTATTGAAAATTGTAGATTAATCATGCTAGAAGGTGAACCTGGGTCAGCAATTATGCCTCACCAAGTCGTCCTGCGTCCTGAAGCTGGATCTTAAGCATTTCCATTGGAGTTGTGACAATAACCTGACACATCCCTGCCCCACAGCCAGCCAACATTTCCTGAAACACGCTCAGCTTGAGCCTGAAATACAAGTGAGTATCATTCAATGCTTTTTTCATTTAAATATGATTGAGTATTGTACAATTTCTTGAAAAAAGCAGAGGGAGCGTACTCTCCCGTACTGAGCCGCTGACGGAAGAAATCATTGGCGGCCAGTTTGATGGCCTTCTCAGGAGTCACCAGTGTCAGGTTGACTGCTGCACCTGTAGGAAAAACTTAACTGAAAAGATGTACTACTAACTTTAGTTAAATTAAAAGTTTTGGGAGGAAATTCCTGCTTTGGGACCTCTTATGATTCCTGACACTGAATCAATACAATAAAAACATTTTTAAGATTTCTTTGCAAATGTTGAACTTTGCAAGCTATGTCAAATATCTAAAAGTAAGCCACAGGAACTAACACCTATTACAGTTGAGAGGCTTTGGATCGGCGCCTCTTGTCAGTTTATGTAAATGGTATAAAGTGCTGACTTGCAAGTTATATTGCATTATGAAGATGTCCTCGGGGGCTTTAGATTTTAGGAAAAGATAAAGGTAAAGTATTCTATTAAAATTTCTAAAACTACTTACCTCTGTACATTCCAAAGTATCCCTCAGATCGAACAGTCTTTATCAGACAGTCCATCCTAATCAAAATAATAATATGTTATTGTTGTCTACTGAGGTAAGTCACCATTCTAAATCTATAAAATGAATATTGAATAAACCGCACCCCTTTCACTAATCCATAGTTTTCTGAGAAAGAGAAACAAGTTTTCAGTTTCCATGACAGGTAATTCTCACTTACTCCAAGGAGCTCTCTTTCAAAGAAAATGCTGTCTTGCTTACGGTTGTGTGGACTTGCAATAAGTGTTCAGTGTCAATTCAAATCAACTAAATGTTAACAATGTGAATTATACATACATATTTTTGTAGACCCGTTGGCTTCCTCTTTGGTTCTGGAGTCTTGTCTTGGCAAGATCTATGGGAAACACACAGGTAACACCCACCAGTCCAGCAACTCCACCATTGATGAGCTTGGCAGGGAGGCTTGTGAGAAACAAAAGAGAGCAAATAAATCAATCAATACCTATTGTATTCCTAATGCATTCATTCACTCATAACCCACTCCTCCATTTAACAACTGTACAAAAATCAAGGCACTGCTTTGAAGGTATAGAAGAAAATGTCAAAAGAATCAAGGCAATGCCAGGCTAACACATTCATTTAAATGCAACACTTCCCTGTGAGTATAAGAGTTAAACTGAACATGTTTAGACTACTTACAATAAAACTACAGCATCAAAATCATTTTAACTGACACAGCAGACAGTGGTTCTAGTTCCATACCTTATTGGTTGTTGAGCCATGGTGAGAGGTTTGTAGTTTGGTCTGAGGACTGAGGACTGAGGTAGACAGAGGCGCAGTCACTATGCAAAGCAGCAGAGAGGGGTTATATACTGCAACCCCTCCCAGGAGCCTCAGGCAACACCGGCTGTTCACTCCCTGGCTGTGTGTCTCCACTGTGACTGACTGCATGGCCAATCAGAGGAGCGGGATCTTCTTACAGTAGGCATGCAAAGAGACACTTACACTACCACACACACACTTGCATGCATGTTTAGGGATTTTCGATCAGATCAGTACGTTTAAGTGCATTCCTAAGTTTTAGAAAAAGTATTTGGGGGGAAAAATGTAAAAAAAAAAAAAAATTTTTTTAAAGAATGTTGGATTTCTTCCAAAGCATGCTTCTACATGTCTAAAATGTTCTGAACCGGAAACAGGCACATCTTTATAAATGGTAATATAATAGTATATAGAAATATAAATAGTACTGATCTAAATAGAAGGTTATTGGTCTGGACATCAAAATATTATATATTGATTCTGTCCCAAGAATCAAATATCATTGTGAGTTTGATCGAGAGCCATTTCAATCGATTTCAAGACCCTTAATCTCACTTCACCTAATTATAGGTACACCTGTAATAAATAGTTCATAAGTCACTAGAGATAAAAGCAATGAAAGTCAAAGAAGTCAACAAAGTACTGAATGTAAATTATAGATTTTGACAATCCATGTTACACTGTATTTTAATATACAAATTAGAAATATATTTTTTATTTGTAAATATATACCCATGGTACTTGTGCCATTTTATGAAGGCTATTTATAATTATGTCTAATTGTGTAAAGTTGTGTTTGAACATATTAGTTATATTTTTTTTTAAGTAAAATTAAAAATCACAATAATTAATGCAACAGTGAATCAATATGGCAAAATTGATTCAAATAAAGTACAATCAATGACATTCGAAATTGTAAATTTCCTAAACACAACAGAAATTCATTTTTCACTGGGAAACTACATTGCTATGTTATGACCATATAATTAATTTGACATTTTGTTATGATCTGTTCTGCTTTTTAGTCAAAGCTTAATGAATTTAAAATGTATTGTAAAAACTGATTGTGATAGTTATGGAGCAGAAATGAGAACAAAAATCACACAGATCCCACATTTGCATGCAATTTTCATAATATGGCAATGCCAGACCAAATTTGATCATTAATGTTTATTTTTCAGTTTTCACAACATTATTTATATAATTTCGTAATAAAACGTGTGAGTCATCATCAACAATCAGTAACAGTTTAAAAATACATCTTTGCCAAATTGTCCTTAGAAATATTTTGTCTCTGACACATACATATGTAGTTGGCAAACCGTGCAATTAATATGTAAACATATTTTGCAAGCCTTTCTGATGTAACCTAAGAAATAAAATGAATTGCTCTCATACATAAAAGATCAAGGTATGAATATATTATTGTTACTGTGGAGATTTTAATTGTTATTTTTGCTTAGTATGTATTTTCTGGTGCTCTGGTAATGGTGTTTTTTCTATGGCTAGTCAAAATGAAGCATTTGCTTGTTTAAAAAAAAAAATGAGTGAATGATATTAGTTACAGTAAATGAGACTTTAGTGATTAATGCAGACATTTATAGTGAAAAAGATACAGACAGGAGAACCAGAACAAAGACTGTCTCTCAACAACAATATTCATCAAGATATTTTGTGTGTGTGTGTATATTATATATATATACAACATTATTACAAAACCATCCATATTGTTTACTCTTTCTATATAGCTGAAATGAGAAACACTTTCTAATAGAACAAGTGTTACCAGAACATTAGAGGGGGAAAAAGGTTATCAGAACTGAATTTTATTGTGAGGAAGGCCCCTTGTCGATTGATTTCAGACGGCACGCAGGTGCTCGGAGCATTTGCTGGGAGTGTAATTTGGCCTGTAAACACACTCGTTCCTGGTAGTGTTGCATTTGGTGCAGCGACACTGGCCTGCCACCGGATAAAAGAAGAGCGGTTCAATATGGACAGGACAGCCGGGCATCTTAGCAGAATGATAGACCAGAGAACGATGCATGCATCCTCTCTGAATCAGGAAACGCTTGCCCACAAATCCTCTCACGTTTGTGTCCTGTCACACACACAAAATCGACAGTGTAGTACAGTATATAATATTTAGTATATTTATATATGCAATATATTGAATCTAATTTACAACAATGCTAAATAGTATGTATTTATACTTATTACGAATTATTGCCTATTACATACGTATTCTTATTCTTTAGTTGTAATATATAATAGTATATTTTCTTCTGACATAATGTGCAGAGAAAAAAATCCAAGATAATAAAAAACAAGAAATCAAAAGCTTTGTTCCATCAAATTCCACATGTATTGAGTTTCCTGTTTTGTTTGTTTAGATATATTTAATGAAGATGTGTAACGTTATTATTATCCGATTTCACATGTCGTCTTTTGATATTTAGGTTCATAAACCACATGGACAAAATATAAAATGGCTAATGAAAGATACTTGGTCTTGTTATTGGTGTTTCACATATGTGTCATGTCCCCAGAACAAGTCGTTTATGAATACTACTCTCTCATTTTTATGATTCACTTTCTGTCTCTCTCTCTCTTATATATATTGTATATTTATACCTTTGTCTCTCTTTCCTTCTCACACACAAACACACACCACACCGCATACACAAAAAGCATATGCTAGATCAACTATACTCATAAAATGATATTTTTTAAAATAAGTTATTGCTTTTTTATATATAATTAAATATATTATATTCAATGGTATATTAAATATGTTCTAAATAATTCTTATGCTCCACTGCACTTCACTGTCAAAAATGACTTTGTTCATCATGAAACCTGCTTATCTCTGGTATCGAATTGGTCAGTTGTCCAAATTATTTGACACATTATCCCACATAAGAAACATGCTGCATGATTGTATTGTGAAGCTGCCAGGCTCTTACCTGTGTGAAGCACATTCCGCTGCACATGGTGGTGTTGACGGCCATGCAGTGACCGCACTCGTGTCTCTCCACGTACAGCGTGTAGTTCTTCAGAGAGCAGGCCAGGAGAACATCTCCTCCCAACACAAACAGCAGACTGCAAAACAACATCTTCATCTTCATCCAACACCTCTCCAAACACAAAATCTTCCTTTGGAGGATTGCTGATGTTCTGGTCAGTGCAGTTGGGAATCCTTCTTTTAACAAGTCAGATTTTGATTTGGTCAGAGTTCCTCGTGTGCTTTTAGACTCACACTAATCCCAAATGATCTGCGTGCCTCTTATCTTGCGGTGCAGGGAGGGAGGGTCTTCAGGTTGATCCTCCACGCTGGAAATCAACGTGACACCGGGCCGAACAGCCCCGGTCATCTCTTGATGTAACTCTTGATGTAAAACCAAGTGTTCAGCGGAATTAGTAATTATGCATCGCTATTTATAATGTCGGACAAATGCATCCCAATGAAAATCAAGGACGACATCTTGCATTTTATTTTATTACCACCGTGACTTTAGCATTTAAGAATAATAGTATCTTGATAAAATAAATAATAGCAAATAATTGCAAATTTGAGATCAAAACTGACTAATAATCTCCCTTTATATATGAACATCTAAACTTCATCGCAGTTGCAATTTCTAAAGGTCAGCTATGTATATATATATATATATATATATATATAGATAGATAGATAGATACACACACACAGTGTTGGGAAGGTTACTTTGGAAATGTAATGGGTTACAGATTACACGTTACCCTATTTAAAATGTAATAAGTAGTGTAACTATTTCAATTACTTTGTTAAAGTAATGTAACTGATTACATTTGATTACTTTTTGATTACTTTTCTAAATTTCCAGCGAATGTGTTCAACTGTTACTCATTTTGAAACATTTAAAGCAGGCAGGGTTAACCTCACAGTAGTGCTCAACACTGATTACTGTCAGACAATTATCAATTAAAATGATAATAATTCCATTTTAAAGCACAGCCATCGCAAAATCAGACTTTAGCAGCTCTTTTTACTTTGAGATCATTCTAATACAGATTTAAAATCATAATAAGAAATAGTTTAATAGCTATCACACTGTTTTTGACATCAAATCTTTGCATAGCTGTGACAGGAGACACTGGAATCTAACAATGCCTTGGAACAAACAGTTAATCTTACAATATAAAGCATATTCACAAACCCAAATAGGAAATAAAACAGTTATCAGATAAGCAGGAGCATGCACTCCTGAAATATTGGTCTCTCATATTTTAGAGCAGTCAATGCAAT